TTTTTTTTTTGCAAATATCCTTAATGTATATTATACGCATAGTTTCGTACTTTTTATTTTCTTTCTAGAATTAATCACTGCTCCCGGTAACAAATTCATGGTTATTGGGTAAATAGTTAATAAATATCAAACATTGATGAAGAGCACAATTTTTGTTAGGCAAATAAACTTGACAAGCAGGAGAGTTCGAGTTGCAAGACCTCTAAAACTTTGATTCATGGGAAAGTCTTATCCTTGTATGGAAATGTCTCCACAAAAAATAATAGAAGATTCACAAAAGATGAGAGTTCTGAGATTCTTGTTGAAAAGAAACTCCTAGCCATTTCTATCTTAAGAATCATTCTATGCCTGCATGTGTTAAAGCTAAAGGAGAAGATCTCATGGGAAAAGTTTCAATACAAAATGGCCATATAGGGACATCATTAGCCTAGAGAATGAAAATGTTAAGTCTCCATCATATATTGAAGAATCTTGATGAGTATATTTCTCTCGTACTTTAAAAACCATCTAAGCTTGATATTTAGCTAATTCTTATGAGTTTTAGAGTGTTTTAATGTGTTTCGATGTTGTGATATAGGTTGAAGAAATTGAAGGAAGTAAGCAAAAATTGGCAACCAAGTCTTCCTACTAAAGTCATCAATAAAAGTTATGAAGTGCCTCTTGCCATTGTCAGAGATAGGATTAAAAAGTCCACATATATTTGAATGAACCAGTTGAAGGATACGTGAGGACTTCCAAGTTCTCTTCTAAGGAAATGTATCACGACGTTGCTTTTCAATCACACATTCTTCACATATTTTTTAGGGAGCTTGTAGTTTCAGTAATCCAATGACCATTTGCTTTTGTTGTAAAGTTTTCAAACCACTGAAACTTAGATTTCCATACCAATAAATGCCACAGTCAACTTGCATTCTCTCGAATGGTAGATTCGAAGTACTTGGCATTAACATATGAGACCTTTATTTTTAATGAAAACATTCTGTTTGAAGCCATTTCAACTTGTATCATTAAACCTTTTCATGATGATGGATTTGGCAAACATTCTTTTGAGTAAGAATGGAAAAATCCCTTTTCTTGCGATTGACCAAGGCCGATAAGATTACTCTTCAATTCAGGTACATATAAAGCTATAGAGATGTAGTGCTCCACCCCCATTTACATCAATGTTTATATCTTATTTCCCTTTGACACATAGGCTAGAGTTGTTTACTAGCTTTACCTCCTCTCTGAAGCTTTCATCAAGTTGTGCGAAAAGCTTCTTGTATCCACTTATGTGGTTACTGCATCCGGAATCAAGATACCACAAGTTGTTGGAGGTATCTTCTTGCATATTTAATATAAGCCCTAAGTAACATTTCTTCTTCAGCTTAGCAAAATTTTCTTCATTAATTTGCTCCCTTTTAGGGCACTCATATTGAAAATGCCCTAATTCATGGCAATTATAACACTCGATGATCCATGTCTTCCTCTTCCTCTCCCAGGTAAGTTGTTTGCTTAACTCACTTTCAGCACTTGTTCATACATTACATGGCTAATAATTCTCTGTTCACCCACAAGTAGACTGGTTTTTCAATTCATCAATTGAGATGTCATCTATCTCATTAGATTCCTCAATGGAACAAACAACATAATCAAATTTAGGTGCTATAGATCTCAGAAACTTTTTGATTACCACTTTTCAGCCATCTTCTCTATGGATTCTCACTTTTTGGCTACCGTGAGCACTCTTGCAAAACAGTCATTGACTAATTCTCCCACCTCCATATGAAGCATCCTAAACTCTTTACTAAGAGCCTGTAACTATGTCCACTCAACTCTAGCTGTGCCTTGGTACTTTTTTTCATTAAATCCTGTATGTCTTTTGTCGTGTCCTTCAGGATGTCTCCAAAAAGGCTTGATCGACGACTTAGAAGAGATAGTTATTGGTCTTCAAATCCTACAGGTTTTGATCTTTCAGGGCTTTCAATTGAGTTTTAGTAAGCGATCCCATTCTCTACCAAGTCCAATATTTTTAGATCACAAGAAATTTTACATGAGCATGGACCAATGATCATAACGTCCGTCCAAATGTAGAATAGCTAGTTGCACAAAATTACTTCCTTCTCCTACCATTGACTCTTGCGGCTGCAAGTCAAAAGGCTGCTTCTTTGTTTTGAGTTTTCAGGCACCGGTGAGGAGCTTTGATATCAGACGTTGAATTTAAAATTGATCAAATGAAAGTGATTATTTTATTGAATGACAGACTTGGCTTTAAATAGCCATAGAACTGGAGATTAAAAAAAAAAAAGAAAAAAAAGAAGAAGCTTTAAGTCCCACGAACCTTGTTGCATGTACACTGTAGTGTACACTTTAGTATACACTTTGTCACGTGATATTATTTTATTGGACAGTTTAAATTTCAAACAGTTTTTTCATCCTATTAACATTTGACAACGATGCAAGTGTCAACTAACGTGTCAAAAATCAGTATACAAATAACAAATTTCATAACACACACTGATATCCTATGATTCTCCTATAGAAATGTTCAACAAAAAGACTAATTCAAACTCTAGCTAATTTCCTTAAAAGGGATTATTCAATGGAAACACAAATTAGTTTAAATAAACTCACACTTTAACATATAATGTTATCCACATGTGTATCAGGCATCTATAGTTTGGGTACCACCTGTTCCATGCAAAACCTTTGTAGGAATACCGTAAGGAAAGTACATACACATTCATAAGCTATTAATCATTGGTGTCCATTCAATGATTATCCATTAATAATTTTTCCTTCATTGTTCCGGTTATCATCCCAGATATGTAGATGGATTTACAGTTATTTCAAGTTTTCCATGTTGATCCCGTGAATGCTTCGACTGCGTGTTAAATAGGCACTATCTCATTCGTGAAGTCTATAAATTCTTCCATGTACAGAAAAGAAGGCACTAGATTTCCAATACTTGTGTCCNAAATAGGCACTATCTCATTCGTGAAGTCTATAAATTCTTCCATGTACAGAAAAGAAGGCACTAGATTTCCAATACTTGTGTCCTTTTTTTTTTAATTATGAACCGTCAAACGAATGTCATGAAATTACATGAACTTTCATGTTAAACTAAAACCCAATTAAAATATCTATTTATTTGAATCAGTTGATACAAACTAAATGTAATTAAACGTCATGAAAAGTCGTGAAGTACATAGCCACTAAAACATATAAACATTTATCGAATGAATTAACTGCCTTCAAGCTAAGTGAACAGGCACAAACCAATCTTGGAAATGTTGGGAATTTTGATAAGCAAAAGCAAAGAAATAAAAAAAAATGTAGAGAACTACAGCAGAGGAAATGCAGAGAAATATTGGTTCCGTTCTTGCATTTATTCCAAAACTAAGACCGCCTATTTATAGGCTTACAAGCAAACTAAAATGGCTAAAAAAATCTCAACTAACATCACATTTTATTGTCACTAATTCATACTGACTTTGACTAACTAAATCCAGAAAATACGGAGCAAATATTTGAACTTAAACCAATATCTATGACTTGGTCTAACTGGAAATTAACACATCCAATTTCTGAATCAACTTTCAACACTCCCCATTGATTCAAAATTTCAAACTCCAAGTTGATTCTTGAAAAAAAAAAATGTTTTTCACGAGGAAGCGATTTTGTTTGAATATCAGCTATCTGCTCATTTGTGTTGCAATACTGCAGAATATTCTGCCTTTTTCCTACAAGCTCTCGAATGAAGTGAACTTGAATATCTATATGCTTTGTTGTTTAATGGTAAGCTGAATTCTAGGACATGGCAATTGTAGCATTGTTGTCACAATAGCTTTCAGTTCTTCCCTTTTGTTTCTGATCAAGGTCTGAAAGTAGCCTTTGTGATCATATGGCTTGACATGCTGATGAAGTTACAGCTGCATATTTAGCTTCAGATGAAGATAAAGTTGTTGTTGCTTGTTTCTTTGAACTCCATGATATGGCTTCTGACCCCAAATTGAAAATATAACCTGAAGTGCTCTTTCTATCTTCCAAATAACCTACGAATAACTATCGGTAAATACAAACACCTTGAAATTTGAAACATGGCAATACCGTAACACAAAGTCTATAGTTCCAGCAATGTAGCTCAAGACCCTTTTTGCAACTCCAAGGTGAATCTTTGAAGGACAATGCATGAACCTAGAAATCATTCCAACTGAAAATGCTATGTTAGGTCTGGTATGAGTTAAGGATATCAATCCACCAATCAAGCTTCTAAAATAACTTGAGTTTGCTTGTTCAGTACCATCATCTATCTGCTACTTTTCATTCAAATTCAAAGGTGTTGTTGCAACTATGCAATTCGGCATATTGAATATTTTAGGAAGATAAGTTGCATATTTCCTTTGTGAAACAAAAACTCCATCTTCAACTAGCTTCACTTCTAGGCCAAGGAAATAACGCAAAAGAATCAAATCTGACATTTCAAATTTATTCTTCATATGCTCTTTAAATTCATCAATAAGAGAAGAAGAATAACCCATATAAATTATATCATCAACATAAAGACAAATAATGAGAAGATCAATTTTACCATGTCTCTTTAAATAAAGTGTAGGCTCACTTTTGCTTCTTTCAAATCTATTTTGATGAAGGTAAGAATCAATCTAACTGTACCATCCCGTGGAGATTGTTGTAGACCATAAAGGGATTTCTTCAACCTATAGACCTTGTTTTCCTTTTCCGAAATGATGAAACATTCTGGTTGAGAGACATAAACTTCTTCCTCCAATTTTCCATTTAAAAATGTAGATTTGAAATTGAATTGAAACACGGGCCAACTCAATTGTGCTGTCAAGGCTGAAATGGTCCTCACTATTTCAAATCGAGCAATAGGAGAAAATGTGTCATCGTAATCAATACCTTGTTGTTGGGAATACCCCTTTGCCAAGTTGAGCTTTGTGCTTTTCAATTTTTCCATTTGAACGGTACTTTGTTCTATAAACCCATTTTACTTCAATAACATTTTTACCTTCGGGTAGCTCCACCAATTCCCATGTCTTATTTTTCTTAATTTTCTCAAGCTCTTCTTTTCATTGTGCTACACCATTTTTCTTTATTTGCTACTTCTTTAAAGTTTGTTGGATTTGAAACAAACAAAGCTTGAATGTCTCATAAATTTCCCTTAATGACCTGAATTTCCTTGGAGAAGACTCATTTGAAGAAGCTTGTGTGGAAGAAGAACTGGTATTACTTGAAGGGCTAGATGTTATTGAATTTGAAAGGACCATGCTTGGTGAACTAGGAGGAGTTGGTCCCACTTTTCTAGTTGGTGAAGGTTTATTTGTCGGCACTTTGATATGAATGACTTCATTATTCTCATCGGCAACATGATCATTTTCATGCCAATTCGAGCTTGCTTCTTTATCGAATACAACATTCCTACTAATAGCAACGTTGCCACTAACATGACCATATAGCCTATATTTTTTATATTGAGAACAATAACCCACAAAAATAAAATTTGCAGATTTTTCATTGAGCTTACTACGATTACGTGAATCATTCAAATCATAGGCAATAAGGCAAAAAAATTTAAGTGACTTACCCAAGGCCTTGTACCATTCCAAGCTTCATATAGAGTTTGGTTCAAAAAAAGCTTTCGTTGGAGATAAATTTAACAAGTAGACTGCAGTAGCAACAACTTCTGCCCAAAATTGGTCTAGAATTTCCTTAGCCTTTAGCAAGCTTCTTTCCATCTCAACAACCATCCGATTCTTCCTTTCAGCCACTTCATTTTGCTCCGGAGTATATGGTGCAGTCAGTTTCCTGCATAAGCCATTTTTATCACAAAACTGATTGAATTCATGAGAAACGAACTCACCATCTTAATCTGTACGAAGTGCTTTTATACTTATTCTATTTTGCTTTTCAACAAATCCTTTGAGCCTTTTGAAAGCTTTAAATAATTCTGATTTGTTTGCAGAAAATAGACACTGTGAATAACAAGAAGTATTGGCTCCCACTAAAATATTCTATTTTAATAGGTCCGTCCAAGTTAGCATGTATAAGATCAAGGCAATTAGTTGCACTTCTAGACCTTATCTTGGAAATGATTTTTTACACTATTTTTCATATATACACCCTTCACACAAATACAAAGACTCAATTTTAGGCAACCCAAATACCATTTTCTTTTGACTTAATAACTTCGTACCTTTAACATTCAAATGTCCATACCCCATAGGTGCCATAATTGACTCACTATTTTCTTTACCAAAAGCATAGTTCTTTACACTAGACACTTCAAGCAAAAACAACTTATTTGCTGCCATTTGAACATCTTCAATAATCTGATTTGATTTTTTTTTTTTTTTTTAATCTCTAATCACAAATGAGACATCACCAAACCAAATAGAATACTCACTAGACATGAGTTGCCCTACCCTCAACAGATTTTGCGGTAAGCTGGGAATAAAATAGACATTGTAAAGAAGCTTTACATTACGATGACCATTTTTTACTGCCATGGTTCCTCTGCATTCTACTTTCATCTGCTTGCCATTTCCAAGTTTCTTCTTTAGCTAACATGTCTCATCAAGCTCTTTGAATAATGACTTTATACCAGTCATGTGGTTAGAACATCCGCTGTCTAAGAACCACAGACCACTATGAGTGGTAGTATCTTCATGATAGGCCATGTTTAACTTGATTTCTTCTTCTTCTTCTTCTTCTTTGGCACAGTTTGATTGCTTTTCCTTTTCCCAGCATTCTGCCTTTACATGCCCTAATTGTTTGCAATGATAACACTGGATATCACCCTCGTTGTTTTCTCTGTTGATCATTGATTTGCCCAATTCTACCATAACCACCTCTATTGCCATAACCACCTCCACTACCATAACTACCTCTGCCTCTACCACTGCTATCACGAAATCCTCTTCTTTCACTTCCTCTACTAGCTATCTATCTTGGCTGATAGATGGCTTCTCCATCACTTGAAACACTTTCTCTTTGGTTCTCTCATTTGGTTTATTCATTCTTTCCTTATGAGAGTGGAAAGAGACCATTAATACATCAAATGAATACGTAGATAAATCTTTGGACTCTTCAATGGCTGCAACTACATGATCAAACTTTGGAGCCAAATTTTTTAACACTTTTGCAACTATAGTTTGATCAGTAATTTTCTCTCCATAGGATCTCATTTGGTTTACAATTGCGTAAATTCTAGAAAGGAAATCATGTACAAATCTCTACTTTTCATATGTAAAGTTTCAAAATCACGGCAAACAGATTGAAGGATCACTATAAATAGGGGCGGATCCAGCACCTGGCGAGCAGGCGCGGCCGCCCGTGCTGGATCTGTCGAGAAGAAAGTTTAATGAAAAATGTTTGTTGAATATATAAGTATATATATGCTGTTGTGTGCAAGTTGAACCAAATGGCATGCAGAGCAGGTGGGCAGGCATCACTTTTCCAACCAATAAAGCATGGGTTCGAATCCTTTTGTCAGCACTTTGCCCTATAATTTTTAAAACTGTAAATAATGACTAATATTAATTAATAATTGTGCTAACATTCACCAAGAGGTATGGGGATCAATTCCATGTACTCCCACTTTTATGTTTAAATTTTTAATACAATAAATAATGACTAAACAATCATATATTATTAATTTTCGTTTTCAAAATAATTTCTTTAAAAATTTATTGACTCAAATTATTACTTCATAATTTATATACTTTTATTATTAGATTTTATCAATTTATTTTATAAAATTTAAATTTGGACAATTTATAATTGTTTTTTATTCTTTTAAAAGTTCAAAAAACATTTTTTTTTAGATTAAAAATTATTTTAATTCTAAAACTCATTACTTTCAATATTTTGCATAACCTTTCCCTAACCTCGAAGCTTGTCTTTACCGTTTAATCATATTTTATATATAAATTTCATCTTATCTCGCTTAAGTTCGTAAAAAATTTGAAACTTGATCATACATATATGATTGTGAAATGTATTTTTTTCTCATTGTTTTGGATTGTATTGAATTATATTATTAAATGTATATGACTTTTATATTTCGGTGTATTTATATATTGATAGAAAATTTTTAATATTATTTAATTAAATATTAATAAACAATTTTACTATTGCAATCGTTAAAGGTCAGCGACCGCCCTAGCTGACTCAATATCCTAGATCCGCCACTGACTATAATTATCTTTTGCTGTAGCTGCTATTGCAATTTTGGGTACAAAACTATTGTGAACTGCTTGTTGAATGAAGAATAAGGCCTTAGAGTCCTTCTTCTTATTTACTTTCAATCCGGTCTCCTCATCGAGATCAAAATATATATTTTCAACCATGTCCCAAAGATCTTCAGACTTAAACAACGTCTTCATTTTAAAGCTCCAGAATTCATAGCATTCTCCCTTGAAGACTGGAATTGAAGGTTGAGAAACATTCACGACATTGTCTTTAGTCGCAATGGGTTCTATACCAGCTATGGTACTACAAATGTTGGGAATTTAGATAAGCAAAGGCAAAGAAATAAAAAATATGCAGAGACCTACAATAGAGAAAATGTAGAGAAATACTAGTTCTCGTTCTTGCATTTATTCCATAACTAAAAGTGCCTATTTATAAGCTTAAAAGCAAACTAAAAATAGCTAAAAAAATCTCAGCTAACATCACATTTTATTAGCACTAATTCATATTGACTTTGTGTTACATCCCACTCATTTATAGTCAAAGTCAAGAAATTATTTAGTAAAAGTCAAGTAATTCAACTAGTCAAAATAAAAGCCAAATAAGGACCTAAGTTGACTGAATGATTTTCATGGGGTCTAATTTGTAATTACAAGTAATTGAGGGCTAAAAATGATAAATAACGGAATCTATGGATTTAGTTTCTATTATTAAAAATTCAAGTACTAAATGTTATGTTATATGAAGGAGAGTGACTTGACTTGCAAATATCTAATAGTTATTCTTTAAACCTTAAACATATCAATCCATTCTATCCTTATCATTTTGGGTGACAAAAAAATAGAGAATAGAGATAGAAGAATGGAGAAACAGGAAGAAGAAAGGAAAAGAAAAGAAGGAAATGAAGAAAGGATGGAAATAAAACAAGAGGAAGAAGAAGAATGAATGAATGACAAAATACTGAGTTAGGGTTCTTCAATTTCTAGAGGTAAGAAAAATACTTATTTATGAATGATATTTGATTTTTAGGTTTATGGATAATTGCTTATATTCAAGGTTTGGAAGGGGAAAATGAATATTGAAGTTAAAAATATAATGAACATAATGAAACTTTGAAAATGGATTTAAGAAATATATATTTATTCTTTAACTTTTTGTGATTATATGGTGTCAAACAATAAATTTAAGGAATTGTGGTTGATTTCTCCATTGTTAAGCAATTTTCGAAAAAAATCCTACACGTGCTATTTTTGAAATTAATCCCAGAAAGTGTTATTTCTACCAGTGGTTTCGGTAATAGTTTTCAATATGGAGAAATAGGTGTTAGACTTCAATATTCTGAAGTTTTAGTGCTATTTTTGTCAAAACTTTGTTTTCTTAGATTTTACAAGTTTGAATGAAACTAAATGATAAATATTGAACTCAAGGTATTGGATTAAATCATGTATAGGGGTTGTATATGTATAAGGTAGTAATCTTGAGAAAGTATAGTTATTTAATGGATTTGATCATGTTTGGTGATTGTTGGTAAATAATTGAAGAGACAAAAATTTAGAGAATAGAGACGTGAGAATAAATATAGAAGTGGAGGAATTACGTGTTTGATTTGCATTAGTTTACTTGTCAATTTTTAATTTGAGTTATTTACCATTATCTCAGCTAGCGACGTAAAAGTTTTGGAAATGCTTGTCAATATAACCAGATTGCTATCCATAGATATGTGAGTAGAACGATTTAAACATTTTCAAGTTTTGATAAATTAATTATACTATTACATTATGTGCAATTATATGTTCGATACATTATTTCCAAAGATTGTATATGATACATTTGTGAATCGAAATATGAGACATATGTGATATTGAGATTGACCAGAAAAGTACTCATAATTGTTTATTTTTTCTAGTTTATGAGGGACCTTGGTCGTGTTTTATATTTTGCACTAAGGGATCTTGACTGTGGATAAGTAGGTCTTCACAATGCATATATAGCTCACTGAGGGTCCTTAGCCATGTTTCAAATTGATTATGAGAGGTCTTTAAAACCCGTTTTGTTCACTAAAAGGGCTCGAGGCCCATTTCTGGAGTGTTTAGTCCGAGGGGCACTCTACACGTGTATGACCAAATTACAGATGTTAGTCAGAGGCTACATTTTTTGTGGATCTTTCAGTATATTTTATGTAATGAGATCATTTAATGGATATCAACTGATAATATCTTGATTACGAGATGATATTAACAATGTTATTAGAATGTCTCACTTCTTGGCTATAATTACATGATATGATTCTGTGGATTATTAAATGATATGAACTTGAATTTCAATAAATATGTATAAATGAGAAAGTATAAATATTTTCAAAATTTTCCACTCTTCGAGCTATCAACTCATATATTTTCCCATGATTTTTCTTATAGGTTGCAATTGGGTTTTTATAACTTGAAGAGTCTGATGATTTCAGAGTTATAGCCATATGACATATTCAGTTATATGATTCATTTTTGGTAGAGCATGAAGTAATTATTTTGGACATATTGCTTTGTATTTTTCATAAGCATCTGATTTTTGACGTATAATTAGTAGTAATTCATAATTAGCCTTGGTGGTGGATTTGGCATTTAATCAATATCTATCATCAATGCACATCACATTCAGGTCAACTAGGGTGATTCGGGATGGTTGTATCGACTAACTAAAATCAGAAAATACAGGGAAAATATTTGAACTTAAACCAATATCTATGACTTGGTCTAACTGGACTAATTGAAAATTAACACATGCCATTTCTGAATCAACTTTCAACAGGAAAGTCAGGTCTCTTTGTCTTTCTCATTGCATACAAATGAGTTCAGATTATGTTAATACTTCTTTAAAGAAATAAAATATTCTATTTATCACAATTTAGACATAATCAAATTTTGGAGTAAATAATAATACAGAAAATCCATTTATAACAAATCAAAATTTTGCAAATTTATTTGCTTGCACAAACTTTCAAGATGAAGACCACATTAATTAAATAGTATCATATTGTTATGGTAATTAACGGAATGATGTGCAAAAAGGTTGTACAATATAATTCCTTGAACAAGAATATAAAATGCATGAGATTATCATTTTGAGATTGTTAGTAAAATATTTAAATGTGCATAAATTATATTCAATAACATACCTTTTATGTGTGTAAAATCAAATTGAACTTCGACTTATCGAACACGTAAAGAAGAAATGAGAAATGTATGAGAATGAATTTAGTCAACGCAAGAGTTCGACTCTTTTCCGTAAGATGATAATGCCATACACGGGTCCTAACAATTTTTCGACATTTGTCTTTTGAGACAAGATAATCACGTTTTGCAATAAGAGCACTCCAAATTAACAAACCTCATGTTTTTGAACTCTCTTTATATGAATTTTGACTCCAAATAAATGCATAAATTATTTTGAAGAAATTGCATTAATATGGTAAAGCAATCATAAAACGAATGAATAAAGTTCCGTACATATGGATTCTATATATAGCTGTTGAAAAGTTGTCTCAAAAGACAACTCTTGAAATTAGTCTCTATTTAAAGAGACACGCCTATTGGAAAATATCAAATCCAAAAGTCAAGACCTTTCCTCTGAAAAGACATATCTTTTGAAAAATAACTATCCAAAAGTCGTGATCTTTTTATATTAAAAACACCTCTTTTGAGTCGAACATATTCTAGAATATTCCACAATATTTTCTAAATTTTTCAATATTGTCACGTATTTAAATGGCTTAAATTTGGCTTAATTTCTCATTCACCGACTTATGGTTTCCACTTAAATAATCATCTAAAAAATGCTCAAAACCAATAATCTATACAAATTTCCAACATATGTACAATAACTCAATCCCATTATAAAGGTAATGCAGGAAGAACAACATTAATTTTTATGCGACCATCCTCATTTCAGTTTGTTGTTTCACATTTTTGTCTCCTGCACCATGTATATGTTTACTCTTTCTTGATTTGATTGGACTACAAAATAACGTTAACAGAAATAAGTCAATACACATTACAACCGTAGTCTACCAATTTTCATACTTTATCAACTTTTTATAATTACATAGTTTTCAATATATGCCACCAAACTAACATTCAATCAATCTGATTGGACTACAAAATAACGTTAACAAAAATAAGTCAATACACATTACAACCATAGTCTACCAATTTTCATACTTTATCAACTTTTTATAATTACATAGTTTTCAATATATGCCACCATACTATCATTCAATCATTTATCTCCCATTAGACTATGCAATTGATTCTTAACAATCTTCATTGAAAAAAACTCTCTACCATAATGGTAGCAACTGAAAGACTAACACGAAAGTTACAAGTCTGTAAACTAATGGACAAGTCTCTTCCTTTTTTTTTCTTTTTTCTTTTTTTTTTTTAAATCACAACCACATTTTCTCCAAGATCACTAAGGCTTCGTAACCCCTCAGAATTTTTGTGAGTTTGCACATCAATAATCTATCTGAATTTACTCATCAATTGCCAAGATCTCTATTTTTTTAAAATCTTTGGGATAATAATCATATGGTTGAATTAACTTATCCTTGTCAAAAACATAATTGAATTATCTGGATACAAACACACAATTAAAAAGAGCAGGTTGATATTTACTTTGGAGATACGATTATTCAACTTTTGAAATTGCATATCGGTAACAGCATAATAATTTATAATAGGGGTAGGAGACATAAATTATAGATAGTTTGTTAGAGCCTATAAAAGGATTATTGATATGTGTATTTTGTACATTTTTTGGGCTATTAAATGAGATTAATTTGATGAATTTTGGTAACAATATGGCTTAATTATGTATACATTTCATTTATTAGGTAAAACTCGATGCAAAATGATAGAGTTGGACAAAAGGAGTGAAACATATGCTAAAATGGAATAAATTCAAAGTTTGAGGACCGAAATATAAATATCTAATAGTTGTTTCGAACCATAAAATAATTATAAAGATCACATAGGATCAATTAGAAGTCTAATAAATGAAGTATAGTAGAATTGTTTTCAAATTAATTCTCAACCGCACAATTTATACTTCAGATTTTCAACCTCGGATTGAAACATTTTTTTTTTTTTGCTTAGTAAAAATTTGGAATGATATTTCCTTAAGAATTGAAACCCTTTGAATTTTCATTTCAATGTACTTTGAATATATTTCTTGACAAGAAATATATGATAAAAATACCTACAACTACTTAGAAACAAAAGCTCCATGCGTGCGGGGTAACTTTTCCACAACCCGAGGCTAATTTTTCTATATGTTGCATATGCAAGGAAGAATCCAATGTATGGGCATGTATTTATTACAGACTAGACAGAACTACTTTTCTTCTTTCAATCAAACTCTTTTGGAAACGATTTTGACCTAATTTTCAACAACTATAAATACAAAACAAGGGCTATACATTAAGAGATATCTCTCTTAATGCACGAATTCAAGATCAAGATATTTATTCTTCATCAAGATTCTTATATTGTTATATGATCTTGGTGATCTCCCTCAATTCTCTGGATGATTCATATGTAAGTATGCTACGCATGTATTGAATGAAGATGAACTCTATTGCTTATTTATTTTAATTCAAGATAAGTAGTTTAGTTATCTTGCATTTCTTGATTAATCTTGCATACTCGTTGCATTATGTGACTGTTTGATCATTAATTAGGTAATTAGTTGCTTGTTGCAATGCTGAAAGGCTCACAATTATGTAGAACATAGTACGATTAACACATGGACTATAGATGTTAGGAATATCATATATATATTGTGTGCAATCACTTCAATAATCATGTTATTGAATATGTTATAACCTAAATAATCTTGTCTTTGAATGAATTCGAACTAGGAATATGATCGGACCGTGTCTAAAATGTAATTAAATTATTTTCTAAAAAAAGTTAAATACAATAGGATTATCTATTGTAAAAAAAAAAAAAAAAAGTGTCATATTTTTATATATATTAATTTATTGACTTACTTAATACGTGAATTGATTTTTAAATATCAGGAATATTGTCAAAAACATAAAATAGGATATAGGTCCAAACAGGAAGTTAGTCCTAATTAAATGGAATGGTATGTAGTTTAGCTCAAAATTTTTGTGCTGCGAATTTTATCTTTTTTCCTTATATAACATGATCTGATTTCGTATTGTACATATACAGCTCATGCAATATATATTCTATACCATCCTAGATATTTTTAGATTTGTTTAGAATAAAAATATAAGGATTTATTAAAATTAAAGTTATCATTCCTGATATTAGACTTCTAATAAACATAGGATATCTTTGGGCATATTTTTCATAATAATATAGGACTTCTAATAATCTAAGATATATTTTTTGCATATCTTTTATGATAAAATTAATATTTTATGATACTTGCTTATCTTTTATAATAAGATTAAACTTTTATGATAATTGTATATCCTTCATGATAGGCTTGTTACCGTGTTATTGTAGATTATCATATAAGATTGTATTATTATATTTGATAATTATTTTACCATTAAGTAAAATAATTAATCAAGAAAGGAAGGGAGCTTTGAAAAACTGTTCACATTCGAAGACCTAGTGCAAAAGCATTTTGCCTCCGTCTTCAAAATTCGATCAAACTCATACATAATTGAAAACTTTCAAAGCCAAACGTTCTCCTTCAATCATATTTGAAGAAAACAAACAAGAGCATTAATATACAATCATATTCATTGATCAAGCTGCTTGGCGTGAGTTGAGAATGGTGATTCTTATTTCAAGTGGTGGTTGCGGCCGAGTACAATAGTGAAGTGGCAGTAAAGTCAAGATTGAAAGGTTTGATTCCACTTCTACAATATATATCAAAAGAAGAAGAAACAATGGAGTTGTTCCTAGATTTGTTTCGATTATTTTTATTAATTTTGTGAAATTACAAAACTGATACTATTGTATTTTTGATCGTTTGATTTTGTGGATTGTTTTACCTGTGGCATGGGAGCCCGTGGATGTTTCCCTTCGGGGTTTATTACGTTGTATCTGGTTATGATATTTTAATATGAGTTTAGTTTATATTGGACTTGAATTTTTATTATTTGTTTTATTAATCACACACCGAATCTCTCTCATATTGGGTTTTTTTAAGGTTCTTTATAGTGCTTTATACAAGATTCTAACAAAATTAAGCTCCTATCATTGAATTCTGAGATTGAAAGAACGTTCAGATAAATAGGAAAAAAAACCAGAGAATAGTAAGAGAAAGGGGAATAGAGATGGCAGAAAATCAAAATCAAAATCAAATTCAGTTGTCACCAGATCTACCATTACAACCAGTTCTGCCAAGAGAAGTTACCAATGATGTCAAAATATTAGCATAAGATTATGTGATTCCCACTCCAACTTATGTGCAATCGGCTATCGTCTATTTACTTTTTACATGATAACTTCCACAATGAATCATATGTCATCAACTTATTTCATAATCATCCGGACATCATGTTTTCTGAAAAATCAATTTAAAATATGTATG